TAATACCACAGGAAACCCGCAGCGCGATGCGATTCGATAACATAATATAAAAGCGTGCGTATTCGTTCTTTTCTTTCTCTCAAGCAATAGTTGGGTAGCCTATGAGCATTGTAGGAAGTATATGTGTGTTCATGAATCAAAACACAAGTTTGAGCTAAGGGAGGCTGGGAGCAAAGCAAACATATGAATTCTGCACAAATGTTTCAAAATATTTTGGATTTTACAAAAATTGTCAAGCCTTTTTGTTCAAGATTGTGAGTTGTGCAGGTAAAAGCATGTCTATTGGCAACAATTCTGAGTGGRACRATCTCTGCCTCATGGGATTTCACTGGCATGTTGTATAAGGTCATGAAATGATATACAGCAGCGAGTCAATGGCATTAGAATGGAATAGTGCACATTCTTCTATGATGACATCATTTCCATTCCAGAATGATTACATAAGTTTTGTCTAGTCATTTCCATTTGAGAATTGGAGGTATGTAAGTTCTTGGGATTTACACCCAATGATACCAAATCACGTCACGGAAGAAGAAGCGAGATTAATAGACCTATCCCACACTTGCTTGGATGAAAATGAAACAATGACTTCAAGTTGACTTGAGTTGTATCTTTAGTCGCAAACTCCAGACAAACTCCAGCCTTGAACTGAAGCCATTGTTTCATGTTCATCCAAGCTAGTGTGGGATAGGTCTAGCAGAAAAAGCAGGTTTTCCCCCTAAAATGATCACTGGTGATCACTGGTGTTTCTTCTGTTTCAACTTAAGGTTCACATGACACCTTAAACAGAGTGGAAGCTCTTAATCTGTGTGACAAGTAGTTATTAATTACTGCTAAATTGTGCTGATTACAAAATAAAGAAATTTGTTAACAAATAAATAAGGCTCAGTCGTGGTTTATTTTTTTTATTATATAGATTTTGAGCAAAACTTAAGCAAAAATCCATTTTGTTGACGTTTTCAAAAATCGCTCCCACACAATTGTGGTTTAGAAGTGGGCGTTAGAAATCATCTATATAACAATATAATTTAATACTTTTTGTACTATCTATGTTTCATGAACTAATTYAGTTGAGTCTACTAAAGATTATGATTCATTGAGAAGCTCTGAAAATCCTTGTAAGTTAATTATTTTATAGAAAGCTATGCAGACATGGCATACTCTCAGACATCCATTATTGTGAAAAATAAAAAATAAAAAAATAAATTATTTAATTCAATGGAGGATACTAGATTTAGTGAGAGAAATTCCTAAGTATTTTTTATGCTAATAAGTTTCAGCAATGTRGGTCCACTGTACATCAACTCATGACATTTACTGCTATCCGTTGATTGATATTATTTAATGAATTACATTTGTTAAAAATTTAATTTCACTTTATTGACTTCTGTCAAGCTTATATTAGATGGCAAGATTTCAGTGATATAATTTTTTAATAATTTACTCATTGGGGAGCTGAAGAAATACTTAACGCCATCTGTGAGTTGCCATAAGTATGTACATATTGTTCCCTGCCAGCACATTCTTCTGATAAGTTCCTGCAAGTTGGAGGCCTTTGAGATATTTTGTGCATGAACAAAATGTGGGCACTTATCAGGTGAACATGACCCCGTTATTAACATTGAGATTGTGTTTATTGTTGTAAGTTGTTATATTGCATGTGATTAATCGCTTATGCATCTAGATTAAACTGCTATTGTTCGATAATTCGATAAAAAATTATTGCTTTTTTTGCGCATTGAAAAGTTTCCGACGTCGGACGTCGGACCTCACAGATTTTGTCAATGTGAAATATCACGCGTAACATGCATGAAAGCTTTCGATATATGCAATTGCTTTTACGATAAAATACAAAGGCAAAAGTATATCATAAATTGCTTCGGATAAGCTTATGAATCCGCTTTAATCTATTTCGTGATTTACTTTTATCATAAAATCAGTTTTTCGTGGTTTATGTCAAGTTAACCCTTGAGTAGATTTTCTATTGTTATTGTTCTATTATACGCCAGTTGATCTTGAATAGATCAATTACTTTAATTCAAATGCTTTGAAATAAAAGCTCACGAAATTTAAACAGCCTTTTAWGAAAACAATCCATCAATCTGCCCACACATGCAGAATGTGTAAACACCATCTAGATATATATTATGAATGAGATTTGAGTCCATGTGTGACATCAGCGTTGGAATTCACTTAGCGCGGTCAGCCTTGATATGTTTCGAAACAATCATTTCCGCTTGCGAATTTGGTAAGAAACTTACTTAAAATATACAAAATATGCATATTCTTGGTGTTATCTAAACACTCAGCGTTATAGATCTAAATGGTAATATTGACGGACATGGCTCAAGTCTATTTGGTACTTGGGATGGGATAAAATGAAGAGAAGAAACCTCGACCAGCCCCTCCCACCCTTACTGATCTAGCATATGACTTTTGGCCGTTCTGCAGTCATAAACCCAGCTTTGACGGGTGAAAAAGCTTTAACATAAAGCGGAAAGATAGTTGAACAATTTTACTCAAGCATACAATTCAAATATGGGCAAAAACCAAGAAAACATGATCTTTCTTACCATGCATGTACTTTTATCACAACATGACCTTCCGTAGCTTTGGGCTTGGGACGTTTTTCAATTCTTAACTTGCTATATCCTCCATGTCCAACTAAAATAACGGCTCTCATGGTTTGCTCTTCTTGTTGAGGCTCTGCTGGAGCATCAACAGCATCTGRTTCGTCTGCTTTAGGAGCTTCTGGYTCTGTTTCCGCCGGAGCGTCCTTTACTTCTGCCTCTGCCTCCGCCATGTTGATCGCGAGTAACGTCCCACAATCCGTAGCGTGGTTGTGTRTAGAAATTCGAAACTTGTAAACTATTTCTGCCGCAAAAACCGCGCGCCGGTTTGATTAAAGTTGATAAAACGTGCTCTGTTTCTTATACATTTTTGATGTTGTAATATTATCATTATCTGATGTGTCGAGCTATTATACTATATGAGATATGGAAGAAATGACATTTTAGCTATGCGCGATGATAACCGCGAATCATTTTGCGCTAATCATCCGCGGAGAAAGAACCAATCAGACACTCAAATTAATCGAACGAGAGATACAATTTGATTAATCAGTTTTGCAGATGTTTATGCAGATGTGAAAACAAAGATATTCACATTTTCAGATAAGTGTTTCGTCTTGGTACATCGTTTTATTGTTTCGTACATTTCCGCCTCCCGGTAAAAGTCAACAATCTTTAGCTAACCTTTTGAAAAAAAATTGTTTTGGGCGTTTTAAAAACGTTTATTCAAAAACACCGTGCAAATAAAACAATGTTTTTGCTCATCGTATTCTAAKGCCTTTCTGAAATTTCCTAGTCKTTTAGCGTTTCAGCGCCGTTTTACTTCGAGCCAAGTTAAGCCTCTGATCTGWCTTCATCCGAGTCAAATGTTTTCTCCGATTTCATCCAAAAAGGTTATCGGAAACCTAGTCAAGTCTGTTCATGTACCAACAACAGATCTTGAATGTATTCAGACAKAATCGTAATCTGTCTGGACCAATATCACGAGGAATTCAGMTGAACTTCAGMTGAATTCCTAAATCATGACGTATCGAGCTGTAGTTGGGTGAAAATCGTCTTTATTTTCCCTTTTCGATGTATTGCTTTATATCAAGATCATAAAAAATAACTTGAATGGTACACTTTTTCTCTATTTACATAAATTGCAGTTATTCTCGCTATATAAACTCTAAAATGTTAATGTGTAAAGGATGTTTTGATTAGTTGAAGTGGTTGCATTGATTTATGTTGGTTGTGGTTTCGCTTTCGTGCAGGAACTCGATTCCGTTTTATTGTCGGATATTTACAATTTTTTACTGTACTTGTTGTGAATAAAATGATATAATAACTGAAACCTTTTTTTAAGCTCGAAATTAGAAAATAAACGAAAACATGGGGTCAAAAACTAAATAAAAGTTGCTGTTGAAAGGTCGCAAGCTTAGCCACTGAAAAAAATTACCCCTGATATCTTCAAAAGACACTTGCAAATGTAAAGAAATTTCTAGCAACAGTTGGCTGATAAAGTTYAATCACTTTTCTAGCAAAATTAAATTGTTGAAATTTTATATCACTTCTATTTTACGTCCGTAACCGCAGTGAAAGAAATCGCAACACTTTTTGTTATGAAACATCTAAGTGGCTTTCCAAACTACCTTCCATTCGCATCTAGTTTTGTGTAGTTTACTATCTATTTTTTAACTTTTTGACGTTTTTTGTTCCCATTTAATCTGAATTTACGGCAATCACTACATGCTAATTAAATAGTTATTGGAATTGAATATTTGATTTCACATTATTTAAAAAGTGAAAACTGTAAATAGCGTAGAATTAGTAGAAATTCTTCATAGTGGAGGAAGTTCTGTGTAGCTCCTGGTCAAATTTCTCGGATCCGTTTTTTAGTTTTTCAATGATTTTATGATCCTGTTTTTTTTTTCTATGCAATATATACATGAGGTTCTAACTTATAATCTAATCTATAAATCCTATAGCTATATATATATATATCAATTTTAATTTGTTGTTAGTTTTTAAAAGACTTTTGGTTGCAAAAAGWACAATGGCCGCCATCTTGAATAAATTTCCCGCCAGTAATCTTCCCGCCTTCCCACCCGAAATGCCTGAGGGGAACTTGTTACGCCAAAAAAATGTGAAAATTAAGAACACACTTCAMGATGAGGGTTCATTGACTGACCGGTTTAAAATAGAGCAATATAGGTGAAAAGTTTACTTGCTTTTGATTGGCCAAGAAGGTTCGTATCCATCAAACTATGGCCCGTATTACAAATCCAAAATTCTAATTGGCTGCTGAACTATGAAGTATTCGTGATAGACCACTGTCCATCGCATATTGAATGAAGAAAAAATGATCGAAAAAATATTGGAAAAAACTTGTTTTTTATCGTATATTTTTCAAAGTTTTCCCTATAGYTTGGTGGATAGTTAACCAATTAGACCATTCCGTCTCGTGAACTATGAATTGGACATTCGACCGTACTAAATATATCGAACCTGTTACATGCGCTGAGAAAGTTGTTGTTGGTAATTTTTTCACGGATATCATATCAAGCAACCATGCAGTTTTCTCGTGCAATTTGGTAGCAATTTCCAATAATTTTATTTTTATAGTTCCGAACTTTTCAATTTTAATATTCTTAAAATTCCAATACAGGCAATATCAACGTGCAGAGTTTTGTGTTCTTTTTAGGGGGGTAGGGGCTTCCTGTGTTCTAAAGACACAACTTAGCGTTCTAGTTTACGTTATACGAAGGAGTAAGAAAATTGATTCCAAAATGCACTAGAAAACATACAAAAAAGCCGTTCAAAGTCATTTCCTTGACAGAAGGTAAAAACTAACAACGAATCTTTTAATATWTGACTCAAAGATTAAGATGACCCACGTGTTAACCACACCCTGTAGACATGTCCTCTCCCCAGGATGACGCGGTTGCTAGCTCACGAGATAGCCAACTCGGCCAKTGCTCTATTGATATTCCGTGATTGCGGACCCGTTCAAATAAAATCTGAAATAATATAGTAAATAGAATTAGTAAGAAATGTTTGGTCACCCTATCCAAGAGTCTTCTTCACGGTTCCCTGCGCCATCTTGAAAGGTGCCTTTGCATCGAAGCGAGACGACCATTGAGTGTGTAATGATAGAAACCTTCCGATCATACCTACAAACAATTATTCACAGTTATCTATCATTGCACGCTCAAAGGTTGACTCGCTTCGATGACAAGGCACGGCTATTTTTCAAGATTGCRCAGGGAACCGTGAAGGAGACTGCAACAATATTTCACCGTTCTGCCACCTGTGTAATGTGGTTGAATTGTGTTGCAAAACATGTTGGATGGAGTTAAAAGATTTGCAGGTCAAATCTTCGAATCAAATTTGAGGTACATTTTCTTCCTCAGTTGCAGACAGTAGACAGTCTTATGTGATTATTAAAGTCTAAAACGGCTTGGTCGCCCAACAATAATCGTTGGTGTTGGGATAACCAACACTGATTTTATCATATGAATTGGATATAATTATATGGATTGTCATGGTTTTGGATATCATTAAAGAAAGCGATGTTGGTGAACACGAACTTTTTCACATATACGCTGATGATAATTATGATAACAATATACATTAAAATGAAGAACAGGCAATGTACAGCGACGCCATTTTGTACAACCAAAACATGATAGGAGTTACAGTCCAGGCTCTTTTTAAAGCCCTTGAAAATTTCCATAGAGGTCGTATTTATGTTTTCTTTGTAAAAACGGCAAAACTACTTCCATATTCGCAAAGAAAGAACATTACATTTTCGACAATCAGTTAATTACCGACATGAAAAATCTCCAGCGGGAAAGCATCCCCCATCATGCTTTGTTGCACAATGGAATCGCTGCACATTGCCTATTGAGTTGATATTTTGGTAACAAATTTATGATGAATAAAAACATTATTTCTATGCTGTCGTACCATTGGATTAAGCTGGTTGATRTGGACYACACGGTTGCCACGGGCCGCCATATTCAGTTTMACTCCAATGACCAACGAGTAGAAATATTTCTGGTAAGASAAAACGCATTTATCTAATACAATTCTACTTCAATTACCGCGACCTTACATCGACTTCACCCCTTCCTGCTCCCAGTCTGACCTGTTTGACCTTGTAGCTCAGCTGGTAGGGCATAGGTAGTAAAAATCCCTCATGCAGCCCTAATAAAAAAGGGCGGTGGTCCTCGTCGTCCCTTTTAGGGTTTGAAATCAGAGTTTTGGTCCCGCTTAGGATGATAATGACGAGCATTCCSACAAACTTAGTTTTGTGGCCCCTTTTAGGGTATATGGCAAGCCTAAGCCGTCGTTATAAGATCATCAACAACAACAACTGCTATATTAGATGATTGATTTTTATTATTGATTGGTTCCTCTTAGGGGTGAAATTTCATCACTGCCACACACATCATGTCGCAATACAGGTCCCTTTTAGGGGTCATTTTCAGAATTTCCGACGAGGACCGACGTCCCTTTTACAAGGGAGTCCCCCCCGGGTCAACAACTAAAATTCTCAGTGTAATATATAATACAGTACAATCCTGTCCTCCCTTCCGACCTGCGTCATGACTCGCGGGTCCCAGAGTGGGTCGAAAGGAGGCCAGAACTAATAATACTGTGTTTAATAMTGTGCAAATATCAAAGTACCTCTTCAGTTGAATTCGAGTACTGGTGACTTTCGTGTAGGCTTCTTCTCAGTGATTTGATGTAATCATCCAGTTTCTAAAAAGATAATTTGTCCATTTAATACTTGGTTTATATTAAAGACARCTGTCATTCATAATTCACAGCGGTGAGATTAAGGCTTAATTATAAAGGCTCTCCTTTTCTATAGCTAAAACAGCAGTTAGTCCAGTCCTGGCCTCTCGTTTCCGAGAGCGTCGGAAACGAGAGGCCAGGACTGGACTAAAACAGCAGTTAGTTCTCCATCAGAGAACAATGAGTAGAAATTGAGAATAAAAGGACTTGAGGGTCAGATGATCACTTTAATTACCTTTCTTTCTTCTCGGTACTGCAAATGTTGCTGTTCAAGCTTTTGTCTGAGTTCTGCAGCTTCTTGGATTCTCTTCTAATCATAAAAACAAAACAATACATTCAGCCATTGCAAGAAGCATTGAGTATGGTGAAAACAAGGAGAGGACAAAWAGGATGAAAGAGTTAATCAAATGAAAGAATGGAAGGAAAGAAGCACAGAAAGACGAAAGCTGTTTGTGAACTAAAACATGAAACTTTAATTTCCACATGCATGTAAAATTGTTAGAAAGACAGAAGAAAGGAAGGAAGGAAAGATGAAAGCTAGAAGGATGGTAGGACAGGAGGAGAGCTGTGACAAACCAGTGGTTAACGATTTGGACTTTTGKACTTTATTTTTTTGCAGATCTCCCCCCTTCATCAATATTGGGTCTTGTTTCGTGTACTATGGTAACATGCTCATGACAAAATTGCATCTAGTAGGATAGGGGGRTGAAATTGTCTGCTGGTGTTACTTAAAATAMATGAGGTTATTAATCAGTGCCWSTTWGGGGACAAAAGTTTACCACTGCCACACCCATTRTCCTCTGATGGAGAGCCCTTTTTGGGTTCATTTGCAGAATATTGTGACAGAGACTCTGTTGTTGTTGTTGTAGTTGCTGTTGTTTAATAACTAAATATACCTGGCATTGTAATGATTCCYTTTGAAGTTCAATCTGTAAATTCTCAGCCTCGCGTTGGTATATCTGAAGGAACAATTGATGACTTTCAAAAATGGCCACTTGGTGTAGATGCTGCAGTGGCGGATCCAGGGGGGTTCCATGGGTTCCTAGGAACCCCCCTTGAGCATAAAAAATAAAAAAATAAATGACTGAAAACGCATTGTATGCAATTGCATCCGAGAAGGATGAAGCTGCCGATGTCTTACAATTGGTAAGCAGCACTTACACGTTTACCACATGGCTGCAATGTATGCACACAGAACTGTAAAGCGTTTTGAGACTTAAAGAGATGCTCTATCTATAACTACATGTACATTACATTTGCTACACTTCAAGAGGCACAGTAAAAAAGTTCGTTTTAGGAAAATGCGAAAACAAAGTGGAACCYCCCTTTGAAAAATCCTGGATCCGCCACTGTGATGCCAATCCAGTTGAAGGAAATTTACCTTTCAAACCACCCATCCCTCCCTCCCTAATCCTCTAAGTCTGCATGAAAATAAAACATGCATAATATACTACTTACTGCTAAGCCATTCCTGTGGAGAGTTTGAACATCACTACTAGCTTTTTCTATAGCCTAAGGAATTAGATAATAACAAATGTAAACATAAAGTCTATGGTTATTTCAATGATATTTTTCATTTTGAACATATCATTTATTGTAAAGATATGAATATCATTTATTATTGTAATTGTTTATTGTAAAACAAAAGAGGCATCATTTGCATAAGTTATTTATTGAATGCATATTATTAACAATAAACGTTGAAAGTTATCCTTTAGCAGCATAGTTGAGTGATGTGATCTGCTCGAAAACCAAAGAAATCAAAATTAGAGTAATCGCACGCGAAAGGGATCCCGCCAACTTACGCCTCTTGGAAGCCTTATATATAAAATCTTTAACGCCCACCATCAATTCACGCGAMGAACACAAAGAACTACAAGATTTGTTATTCTAATTGACTATGTTTCCTTTTGTTCGCCCGTTTCCCTTTGTTCGCCCTTTGACTATCCATCTATACGCTTGATCGCTTCGCCTTATATTTTACGTGTTTATTCTATCTCGCCCATTCCCTGATGATGCTGTAGACAGTGAAAGCTCGGAATCATATTTTTGTTGTAAACTCGATCTACACACTTAGCGGCTTCGGCTACATTTTGTATTTTCATCACATTATTAACAATGTTTCAATTTAAACTGGATATTATAAATGAAAGCAAAAGTTATACAGGGGCATGTTTCCAGCATATTTCCAGCAATAGAACCTCAAGGTTGTCTCCCGACACAGCAGGGAAAACATGATGATGATGTTGATGATGTTATAGCAAATCAAAACAAATGCCCTTTGGTAATGAAAATGTCTAAGTTTGTCACCTTTTTCAATCCTGCTATCTGCTGTGTTATGCCATCATCAGCTTTAACCTCTAAAGAATACAATATTAGTATTTTAATACAAGTCATGAAAAGAGGCCAATGAGAAAATACAAAATAATATATCTTATATTTACCATAAGTCTTGCCACCAACATCAAGCCTCACTTTATTCAAATCACTTGCAGTTGACACAAGACCCTGGACTGCAGAATTGATCTCCTCTTGGTCCTGGCARAACTTAAGCATGTCATTCCTGAATTTCAGCTCCCTTTCTTGTCTTTCGAGGTGTCTTGTTGCTTCCAGTGACAGCTTTTCAGCTTTCATTTCCTCTCGAAGGTGCTCCAATTCATTCCTCAGTTTTTGCTCATTTTCTTGGGAAATCTTAAGCTGCTCTTTTAGGCTCTAAATTTTAACAATATAGAAGGAATGAGAAAAATGTGGCAAGAAACTGCTTTAATTTTGCTCATTTTTATTGCCATTTTATTGCCAGGAAAGATGATGAAGACAGTCAAATGTTTGCTCCTTTTGACAACTGATGAAAGATTATAATCATTAGAAGGACATTTAGTGCAATATCAAAAAATGTTCAGTACTAATTACAGAGCAAAGATAATAATCACATTTACACTATAATGTTGGTCATTATACAAAATACCATGTCAAAAACCTCTCAACTAACAAAAAAAACACCCCTGAGAGGTGTCAGATTCAAGCACAGACAAGTTGCGGCTAATAATAATAATAGATTGAATAAAGTTCATCATTACTGTACATAAAAAGTACAGTATGCTACCTTGGTGGCATCCTCTACCAAGTGATCATATTTTGAGTCTTTTTCTGCCCCATTATTCTCCTCAGTTTTTTGATACTTTGTTCTTGCTAAATCATTCTTTAAACTTGCAACTTCTGCATTCTGATCTCTGAGTTTTGACCGCAAACTTGCTAGAGACACTTCAAGYGACTGTGCATAAGACTGTGTATGTAAAAACAACATTACAAAATATAAATACCAYATATATCATAATTCGATCAAAYGTTTGTTCTGCAAACAGACMCTTGGTCWCTGCAAATAAAAAGAGCGAGTCATCCAGCAAAGTGAAGACTTGATRAAWTAAAATCGCATTGCCRGCTTCCATGATTTACCCAGTAAAGGATGTATTATGTAGATTAAACATATACAGAAAGATAGTAAGGATATACCGGTAATTTACCAAAATAAAAGGAGTTTCATCTATACTGTACCTGACAAGCTTCCAAGCATTCATTCGGCTGTGGAGGGTTGTCAAATCGAAAGAACCTCTGTACGTGTACACTGGATCAAAATTTAAAACATTAGCAAAATGCTTCTTTTTCAACGTTGTTGATCTTGGATTGTTAGGTACTTGTGAACAATTTTCAAGTTCCATCAGGTAGCCAGTCATTTGCATCAAGACAAGGGACAGGAGTTGAGCCTTCATACCCTATTTCGTATCCTGAGCCTTAATTTTTTTGACCAGCTCCAAAAACGTGCTTGTCGACAGTGCTGGCCAAGAAAAACAAAGCCTCCGGGTACAAGATTGATTTACACCAATGTAATTTAAAGGTATCTATCATTGCAAGCTTAACYGCTCTCTTATTTTGATGCAAAGACTTGGCTACCATTCAAGATGGCAGTGGGAACTTTAAATAAAGTAATGCTCTAGGTGTTAAAAAAAGACACTGGAAGATCAACCCCAGTCTCTCGTTTCTGTGCATTAAGGTTGACAACTTTCCAATGGTAGCAATCTTTTACTATATACTCACTTTTGGACAAGAACTCTGTGGCTAAGCACATTTCTCATAAATTCTTCCAGGCCATGTTGCCTTCTGTCAATRAAGTCTATGAACAATTCAAAACAGCATTGTAAAACAATGTTTATATGAGCAGCTGATCTGTCTGAAATATAGTAAGCTGTGCTTTATCATATTCTTGGTGTGTGAAGAATATTCCAGGCATAAAGGCTGGGCATACAAACCCCAACACACACCAAAAAAAGGTCTGCCAGCATGCATTCTTTCAAACAAAGAAGTTGCACTTTAAATGTCTYAAATTGGCTAAAACAGGTCTGGACTTCTGGACTTCAATTATTATAACTTAACACAATATCCACTAAAAATACCCATTACAACACTGACTTCATGTTGTCTGCTAAAAGAATCAATATTGTACAGTGATCTAGGAAGGGGTTAATTGCCATCCTCTTCTATTGTGTATGAACCTCCCCTGCTATGGAGCCTAAGGTCCTACTGGATTCCTCCAGAAAAAAAATCACTGAGCTGTTGCCGCCTGCACGCTGGATGAATGAATTAACAAGAGAGGTTTATGAGGACAAGTTAGCCTTTTTATCTTCATACGACATGGTATCTAATGATGTGTTATGTAACAATGCACACGAATTTGCATGCTGTCCATGATGTATCAAATAAATCAATAGCTTGTGGATATGGATATGAAAGCTCAGAAAAGGACAGTTGGTAAGCCGCCATTTCCAGTCAATTCATGGCCCTACACCCCCCTATCTATCATAAAGCTACTGCCAGCTCACCTTTAGCAAAATTGTCCCAGAATAATCGTTTTCCTGGAAGTGTAAGCCGGAAATGGGGACAAGCTTTGGCAAGCTACAATAAAACATATGTCTGAGTTAGCTAGAACGTCAAATACTTTCAAATAGGTTAAATGAMCGATAATAACTCTTGTAAGAATGATTCATAAGTTAAATGCATTGCATACAACAACAACGTCAGTTTCTACAAATGTTTGTAAACTTACTTTCAAAATCATTTTACTGTAACTTAAGTTAAGTTGTATACCTTTCTATTAAGAAGTAGAAAATCTCGATATCTTCTGTAGATGACCCAGCTTGAATTTCCTTCGTTGACAATTACTTTGTACAGCTTTTGGAAGTAAAAYCAAAAGCAAAATCGTTGTAAGCTTACATAATTGAAATGTTTACATCGGCGTGCATACAAAATGGCTGAACAACARTGTCAAGTGTTATTAAAACTTACTGTGAATTTGTCCCTTGGCTCTAGGGTGACTGTATCAGATATTGAAGTGTCAACKTGAGGAGTTACTGAATCAAGGGAARCCACAGATTTCGTAGGACGGAGCGATCCACGTCCATAACTACGGGTGCTGGCATTGAAGGATCTCTCCAGAGAACTGTCGTCTCCGCTGTAATTTGACGCCATCTTCGCACTATTTTACAATATATCAAGTCCACTCCATTAGGACATTATTAATGTACACAATTGTACAAGAAATTCGATCAAAACAAAGGATTTTTAAAGTTCGCYAACGCTGTTATTTGAGATCAAACCCTCGTGATCACTGAAAAATCGATCTCTCAGCTGGGGCTCCCCTAGACACTAGTAGGGGAGGGGTAGGGCACTGAATGCACCGCTGATGATCATGACTTTTATTCATCTTCGTTTTCCCCCTTTTCCCATCAAAAGTCCTTACATAATGTCTATGCAATAAAATTTAAGTAGCCACTAAATAGTTCTATCTTAGCTACTATTCATTGATTCAACACATACTGRACAAAAGTGAAATTCAATATACAAAGAATCAAAACATCATTTTTAATAGCTATTTCAGTTGATTTAGTAATAACAATTTACTTTTGAAACTTGTGTAAGCACTCTGTTCAACATAACTATCCACAAAGGTTGCATAAAAATCACTTCCATTTTATTATTGATTTTATTTATCTTAAATTGATGTTTTCTTTAATACATGTTTATTCTAATTATTTCTTTTATTTTTCTATACTAATTTTTTAGATAACAATACTTTGAGTACAAAACCTTCAAAATTGTGCAAATTATTTCTAATAACATTATTCTTGCACTATTAAAAATACATTCATAATAACCTTTTTTGACTTTAATTTGTGTTTGGCTTGTATATTTTAATCTCATATTAAACTTTATAGAAATGGTTTTGAAATTTTATTTATTTCCTGAAATTGGAATAGCCATTGTGTCATTGGATAATATATAAAAGGTTTAAGGATTTCACTTTCATTGCTTTTCACTAGTACCTTGAACATGATAATACTTCAAATCACATGATAATATTTCCTGAAAAAAACTGTATTCTTAATCATTAGGGCTCCTGTCATTAACAATATGAGTATCCTTACATAGAGTGCTTACACTACATCAGCATTCCTTTTTGTTGACTATCCCTCAACTGGAGGTTACAATATTTCCTTTGTATTCAATTTTCCTTCCCTTGTCTGTACAGTACATATTGTTATGAAAGTGCTTATGACGCCTGAAACAATACTTGCTGATTCTCTGTGAATTGATTCTATATAAAGTAAATAATTCAATGGTGAATATTCCTGCATTTCATTGTTGCATCTTTGAGTTTTGAAGGTTTAATCTTACAATGTGCTTATGATAATGACATCAAGGGAGTTGGTTAAATTCACAAACTTTTAAACAGTTGCTCAAAAATGTTTTCATGGACACCATCTTGGAATAAGGTTATTAACTACATTGCCTGTGATAAAGTTAACGTCATAAAACCATTTTTAAGCGACTCCTTCAAAGTTTGTATATCTATCTTCTCTGATGTCATTTTCATTAACATATTGTAAGACTGAATCTTCATAACTCAAATACGCAAAACTGAAAAGTGCAGGAATATTTCACCATTCAATTCATAGAAACAGAAATCATTATGTCAGGCATCATAGGCACTTTAAGAACAATTCCAGTTAGTGATAGTGACTAATAGTAACTAAAAGAAGAACTATCAGTTAGAGTGAACTTAAAAAAAACACGAAATAGATATCATACTAATGAATACACCTTAGTACGCTCTTATTGCATAGTTTTCTTTTGTTTCTATTTGACTAGTTTTTTTTTTGTTTCACATGTTTAATGATTTCTCTCTAATAACTCTTTTTCATTTTTTTTTTGGATGCACATGGTGTAAGCACTCTATTATCTACTCATTCTAACTATCAGAATTAACTATTACATAACTAATGTATGATTCTCAAGTACTTTCTATTGCAATAGCAAAGCAGGAGTATGTCTATAGTGTTGTTTAGTGCTTTATGGAGTGGGGATGGGGTAGCACAGGAGGGCAAGCCTTAACATACCAGGATTGCCCTTATGATGCCATACAACTACTTCGATTTTCCATAAAATTTGTTCTTTYTTATACTTTCTGCTTGGAAAGGTGAGAAAATATGCTGAACATTGTAATCCCTGCCCCCCAGATATGCCCTTGACAATGTGTATTATGAGGTAATTAGTGTTTTAAAGATGGCCCTCAGAAAACTGTCAAGTGGCCTCCTCTGGTGTCATCATTTGATAATTCTCTTGTATTTTTCCTGTTTATTCTCTTATGAGAAGACTGAAGGAAACATAGAGAGGAATACACCAATGTCACCAGAGGAGGCTACTTGTCAAGTTCTGTTTTATAATTCTCTGTGTTTATGCCGTTAAAGACTGAAGGGAACATAGAGAGGAATACACCAATGTCACCAGATGGGGCTACTTGACAAGTATATCAGGCAAGGATTACAATGTTCAGCATATTTTCTCACCTTTCCAAGGAGAAAGTATAAGAAAGAACAAATTTTATGGAAAATCTGTGTTTATGCCGTTACAGGTGAAAGCCCATTGTCAGCAATGATGCCACTGTCTCTCTTGCTTGACTGCCTTGACTTGTTATTCCCAGAACTAGCAGCATTAATCTCTGATAATTCATCATCTGTGTCACTATTTGCACTCGCAAACTCTTCAAGCCTTGGYGAGTCTGATGGTTCATTGACTTGTTCAGTTTCTTTTTCATTGGAYTCAAAATTACCCAATGTTTTATCAATATCATCAAAAAACTTATTTTTGTCATTCTCTTGATCACCATCATATTCTTTTTCTAATGCAGGTAGATTGCCATCAAATGCRTATGATTTGAGTTCAGTATTTTTTTCAGGTGTTGAGGTAAGAATCTGCCGCCTAGCCAATGGCTTGACTTTTTTGATACTTTCGTTGAGGTTCTCATTCCAAGGGGTATCATCTCCTGTTCCTTCACTGTTTGATAATGATTTGAAAGTCCCAGAATCACTAGCAGCATCTTTCTTTAGTGTATTTGAAGCACGTTCTTCTTGTAAGGATTGCACGAGAGCTTCTTGTTGGACTCTGGCTTGAGCAAGCTGTGACTTGGTAGCATTCAACTCTGATTGCATCTCTGACATTCTCTCTTTCATGTCTTCAACCTCATCCTCAAGCTGTTGGCAATAAGCCTGCAAGAAAAAAAGAAATAAGATGTTGAATCTGATAGAAATACACATTTAARCTGGCCTCCTTCTCAGGAAACTCTATTTTGTGGGATTCCTGTGCTTACAGCAGAAAATTGGGGGGAGGGGGTTAGAAAGGAAGGAAAGYTACTTGTTGCTAGTAGAATTTTGGGTGAAGACTACTCATATCACTTTACTCAAAATGTCATGTTTTTTTAGCTCATGAGAACAGTCAATTAAGGATCATTTCAAATAATTATAAACTGTAACTATGATTGTTTTAAAAATGACTTACTCTGCTCTCTTCTAGACTATCAAAAGGTCCTGGMGGGTCATYCAAACATAAAAACTCTTTCACGATATGACTGYCAAAAAAAAAAWGAATTGCCATTRAACTTGAACTGCTCAATATTGTGTACTACATAGAGCATTTCAGGACTGCAATAAGTATTTTGTGAAATAGCTGTTTAAATGATCAGGCTAAATGCAATTTAGTCAAGGTTAAACTCAAGGCTTGCTGCTTAGCATGCTTTGCTGCTGAGGGTGCGCCTCTTGCAAGGCCACGTGGTATCTTCATGTGTTTGTTGTGCACACTAAGTCACTTCAATTCATTTGATTCCCAGCCCTCCTCTGTCATACGCATATGATTTAGGTTAGTATTCTCCATTGACTTTGTCAATGTGACTCATAGTGCCAGTTGGTGGACTGTGGCTGGGTTACCATGGTTACCTCCTGGTCATGTTCAGTGGCATGCCAGCATGACCAATTTCAGGCACCACATTCCATACTTGTCAATGTCAATGAGTTTAATTCAAATATTCTGTCATTTCCCTATGACAATATGATCAAAACYTGCCAGGAACATTATTTTACAACACTGAATCAGATTTACCTTTTGGATATTATAGAGTGCTGCATAATGTTATTTATGAAGAACTGAAGACCTCKTGCTCTCTCCTCTATGAAATCTTGCAAAGGGAAAAGATAGGTTACACAAATTGAAAACTCTTTTGARCTCATGTAATAATTATCATTAACAGTAGTATTGTGTAACTAAATACCTGGGTCAAAGTTATTCTTAAACCATCTTTTTGCTGGAAGTGTGAAATGGAAACTTGGAAAGGCAATTTGCAGCTGAAAAAAAAAATACAAAAAAAAATGGATGAAATAAAACTAAATAATATGAGAATTTCTCATTATTGTTCTTCTGCTCAATTTGTCCCTTACCCACAAATTGTTAGCAGCATTTTGGCAAGTTAAGAGGATATAAAAGGAAACTGGTTTTGAAGCTGAAAATGTCACAGTTGTAGTGAATAAAGGACAATTTAAGTACAAGAGCAATATTGAGAGTTAATGGCTTCTTATGGAAGCTTAACCAAGTGGAATCAATTTGTCAAACAAAACTTTGGCATGGAGGGAATGAGTCTAGATCCATCCTGGTGCGTCAAATCATCTCAATACCAAGTGCACTTTAACCACGTGTATCCAATAGCATAATACGATATGGATTTTAACTGGTTATTCGTGGATGCTGTCATTGATATACGTGATATGATATGGAATTTAATTCCCGCTGATTAATCCATCATATAGTTTGTGGGTGGAATTGAAAAATAATTATAAATATTACAGTGCATTCTGAATTGAAAGCTACTTGCTTCGCTCACAACAACAAACTCTAGGGCTGGGTTGTTCAAAGCTTGATTAGCGCAAATCCTGGGATAACTCTTAAAAAACCTATGGAGTCAGTCCAAGGCTAATCGGGCTTTGAACAAACCAGACCAGAACTGAAAAAAAGCTCCACAAGAGTGCCAGATTTCATTACATTCATTTGAGATGTAAATTTGGTGTAAACTTCAACCGAGGTATTTTCTCAAACACTCTTTGATTTGTTTTGATTTGTTTTGATTTGTTTTGATGCAACATAAATGCTTGATTTAATGAAAGTGCGGTTGTGTGACTTCTTTGTTCAAAAACAAAAAACAAAAGAATAGATGAAATTATGAATGAAAAAAAAAGAAGAAAACAGCAATCAAAATTGGTGACTAAAATGGGAATACTGTAGACCTGAAGCACTTAATATCTATATACTGCCATATTGACGTACTCTGACTTCCCAGCATGTGATGTAAATCTAAACATAACTTGATATCCGTCAAGCCAGCTTGCATGCAAATTGGAAAGCGGAAGTTACGTTCCCTATGGGGCGAGGGGGTCATAGCACAAATACCTTGCCATTTAGCCGAACAAAATCTGTGTACCGTCTAAACACGAACCATGACTGACTTCTGTTACGAACATTTACTTTATAAACCTATAAAAATTAAGGATATAAAATTAGAATTTATTTGTGTGTTTTCATGCGAATCAAACAAATTGGTTTCATTSAACGGCTTTCCCAAAATATTGTTGAGTACGACTACATCAAAGATTACCCTCAAAACCAAAGTTTGGCATTATATATYATGAAAGATAATTCAAGAGCTTTCAATAAAACCACTAAATTGGCTACTCAAGACCTCAAAAACCCCACAAAGAAATTTTGAAGTGTCCACATTTCAAACCGTTCTGTTTTGAAAGRCAAGATAAAATCAAGGTTTACCGTGAATTTTTCCCTTCTATCAACGACTTCGTAGCCAACGATAGGTGCACGGACTCCTAATGGCGTCTCTTCTTCGTTATCTTCACTCATATTTAGTTTATGAGATCCTTTTGGTCTTCTGATTTTCCGCGAATGCATAGAATATATTTCTGATGGARGAACCAMGAAATAACCATAACACACCGCGGTCATGTGTGACTGTCTGGGGAGGGGTCGCGCCCTGACTCAGGAGTGGAGGGAGGTTAACTTTTGCTCAGTTTGGTRTGGTGCACTATTTCAGTTGAGATGCAAGCCAYTACTATWAAACAAGAGACAGAACTAGAGTATAAAGAAATGAGGCACCATATGCAGGGACAGTGTTTTGAAATAACTTACATTTAAGATGCATTATTATTATACAATATATCACTAACCAACTAATTAATTTTTGCATTCACAAAGCATTAATTTATTTCAAAACATTACATGGAGGGTGAATTGCCAAAATGGGATTTTTTATTTGCCAAACAATTAATATTTTAAACAGAGGTCATTTATCATGGCCTAGTATAATAAAAATATCGTAAAAATTGCGTATAGTCATAACCATGCATATCAGATTCATTACAGAAACAGCCATCATTTAACATGCTGCCTCATCCACAGAGGGCCCAACATGGCCAATATGCAGACTTTATAGCCATCAATTACTATGGTCTACTATTGCAAAAGTATCCTCCAAGTTGTTCAATGCTCTGCTGAGACATTAACTCACCAGGGGAGTAGCTCTGAACATCTCCTATTACCACTCTAGCTTTTTATAGCTAGAATAAACTCTCTCTATATTTGCAGCCATTTTTATYAGCACCCATATTGTCCTGAACCACTATATCCTTCGCATTTTAGGTGCAGCACCTAATAATACATTRGATGAAAAAATTGAGGCAAAAAGGTTTGGTAATGAGGTACATCACTCTTCTTGGTAGTCTCCTCGCAGCCATTCTTAGTGGCGGCCACTAAGAACGGCTGCGAGGAGACTATCTTCTTACAGTACATAGCTTGATTGTATCTAATAACACCTTACTTGTTACCATGCAGTCGTCTCTCCCACCCTTTTTTCTAGTGTCTCGAAAATGCTTTTCACGTGAGATAGGAGAGAACAACTGTGGATCGAGTCAGTAATAACACCACATACACTTAATCTGCAATGCTATGTAGAAGTTTCGCCCATGTTTATCTTGAATGCATGCTTTTGTTTTGTCTTGCATAAAATGATGTGTATTCTAGTAATTGCAGACTACTAAATAAATTCACCTTTAGAAAAATGGAGTAAGAAACTAGGTATTTTTATATTTTRTTTAAAAAGAAGTTGAAGTCTGGTATATGATTAAAATTTTAATACATCAAAAATGACCTAATTGTACAAAGTGTAAAAAAGCGTGTATTAAATACAATTAAATGAAAACCTATTCTGGTTAACAGTCCTGCTGTATGTCGGTCGTGTGATAATTAAAATGTACACCTCTCATTTACATGGTAACTTAATTGACACATTGCCATGAAGAAATGCGATGTACATGGGCAATTGAACTATGAGCATTCAGTGTTGCCCTGGTGATGGTGATTTTGGTTTCCATAGTGATGGGCTTAGACCAATGGATAACTAGCACTGGTAGCAATACCACACTGGTTGTTCTTGTTCCTGGACATCATGATGTAACCCTCCATTCCCCAGCYTTCGCCCCAAGAGTTCTTGACCAGCCAGTAGTCTTTACCTTGGTAAACACCATAACCAACTACCAGGACACCATGGTCCARCTTGGTGCTGCTGCACAACCTAAAAAGAAAAAATAATTTAATGTATGTAAGAATATGCAAAGACTTAAAGCATATGTCTCTATAATAATATGAAAGATCTGGAACTGGTCAGGGTAATCTATCTTCCTTAGGATTTAGTCCTGCTGTGGCAGTAGGAAATGTATATTGGGTAAATTTTCATAACTAACTCATGACATGATTGAGTGCGCTTACCAGCTATTATATACACCACTGTGGTAAAACTGGAATGACATATGACCAGCATCAATTGCAACAGAAATTGGTCCTACTGACGCAGTAGCAGCCTGRAGATCACTCTCACTTCCAGACTTCACGTCAACATAACCTATAACAATAATATTATCTGGTGTTAGCATTGACTTGAGGGTCTCCTTTGTTTCAAAAATGCTTTCAATGTAARCCTTTTTATCTAGAATTTTGACACCATTATTGTTACGATTATCCGATCTTTCACAAAAAAGGTCCATATTGCTACATATAGGTATTTGAAGATTTTTTGTATCTTGATAGTTTGACATTGTTATCTTAATTAGGACTTGATAAAGGTAGTGACATTGTAATTCTTGATAGAAAAGTTTTTCATTCCAATTATTAAATAACTATAACTATATTAATATTCAATGTACCTGTGTCATCAGCTCCAACATTGGATGGGTTAAATTTGCATTTTTCATTCTCGCCTTCATAAGGATAGCTAGACTCTGTGTCAATACCGCCGTTAGCTTTAATGTACTTGAAAGCATTGTCCATGAGGCCTCCTTGGCAGCCATGGTTTCCAAACTTTGTAGAGCAGTCGACAAGGTTCTGTTCACTAAGAGAGACCAGTTTACCGGTTTTCTTGAAGTGCTGTCCTTCGAGAGAGCCAGTGGTGCTGAAAGCCCAGCATGAACCGCATTGTCCTTCAAGATGAGAAAGTGAAAAAAATTTGAATAACAAGGGTAGAAATTACTTGGGATGAAGATGGTAAAGAATATAACTAATAATCTAAAAAACTTAACATATCTTTTAAACAAACTTTATCACGATTTTGTTACGTAATCTTCTACGTGCTACATACGTAATTTTATACCGCCGCGCAATTACCTTGGTTTTTCACAGGCGTGACGTAACCTTCCTTGCGCCAATCGACTTCGGCTGGGAGTTTTAAGTTGCTGGGAGGAAGAAACAGCGATCCTTCCTTCTTTGTGTAGTTACTGTAGTGAGATTTCATGCCATTATAAAAATATTTGAATTCGTCCTGAGTCAAGTCACCAAGATGGTTCATTGCCAAAGTGTAAGAATGTCCCTCGGAATTGTGCTTGATGATTTTCTGCAAAAACAAATATCACAAAGTATCCATTAGTTTGAGGAGTTTAGAGTATTAATATAGCTAAACAAAAACCATGGTCGAAGAGTAAAATTTATCGAAAATTACGGTAGTAAATTTGTTTTCGAAGTTCTCTCAAGTGTGACACAATCGTCATGTGATTTGCAACGCGCAGCGCAAAAAAAATCGCAGAACTTTCCAGTTTAAAYATATTTAGCTTCATTTAGCTTACTAGTTAAGCTATTTTCCCTTGTATATTCAACTCACTTTTAAGTTATCCTTCCAGATTGCTCTTCTAAAGGTTTCTTCAGAATCTGTTTGATACTTTTTGGCGTGGAAAGACTTCCATGCTTGCCATTGCGCTTCGTCTTGATCAAACTTCAGCACGAAAGCATTTGAAACAGCAACAAAGCAGAGGCAAGCAATTATAAGACTCTTCATGATGCTACAGGAACCAACAACAGAACTTTAGAGACTAGTAGAAGGTCGAAGTTGCCAGYCAGCTGAAGTGTGTTTGTGATGTTTTGCCGGTGTTTATATAATGGCCCATTCAAAAACAGTCATATGACTTTCTCATGACAGACGCTATGAATAATTCATTCACATGATTTGCATTCCGCCGTCCACATGACTTGTGGATGCGATTTCGTTTTGACTGACAGAAGCCTGACAGTTTGAAGTTACGCATCGTGGAGCAATATTTCTGTTCTCTGAAACTGATATTTGGATGAAGAAAACTGTGGGGTTTTGGCGTCAAAAAACTTCGAAACTATCATTAAAATTACAAATTACAACACTTGMTTTCAGACTTGACGTAAATCACGAAGTGCAGCAATTGCTGAGTCATAGAAGCTCCCCCTASCCTATCCCTCCCTGGCTTAAAATAGGAATTCTCACGTGATTCTTACTTCTCGATACTTCGATAATACAACAAGGTTTCGAAACTTTGGATTAAAGTACTATCGAGAAAAAGAGAGAAAAATGCGGAGAAAACGATGAAAATGCCGAAAAATATTTCTTCAACCGCACGGATAACCTGCGTACGTGTATCTAAAACGCAGCAATCACGTGAATCACGTGACTGTGGCTTATGGACAATCCGTAACATACGTAACGCACCGTAAACCATCGCGTTTTTCRATAATAGTTTCATCAGCTTTGCATAGTCATATGATGTCCATATGAAATAAAGCACAATATACCATTTTTAATCATATACGGCCGCCATCTTGAATTTTGAGGGAATTATTGGATGTCCAGGAAGCAAGGCACGCATTGTCAATGTCATATTATTGTCATTATTCATAGTACCAAAAATTTTCTTGCACTGATAATTTCGGGCTTCAAATTTAATTAGCGCTACAAAACATTCAAATATGCTTTGTTTTTTATAAATTGTTTTTCACGTTTTAATATATAATATTCAATCTCATAGCAATCTAATAGCCCTACAGTCTATGAATTTTTCTTGTTTTAGTGCCTGGACAACTGATAGCTTCTTTTACTGAATGGATACTGAAAATCGATATTCAAAATATGGCCATATTATAATAAAGGTAACTTATTCAACAATTGTCATTAATTGGTAATTATCTTTGTTATCACTAGACAACAGTTGCCAGGGACGCTATCTGGTACATGCACCACGTGCTCAAGTTACCATKCAGTAATTTGTCTTTTGCCTGGATACCTTTGACTTTAATACAACACTTCACACCCAAATTATTTGAATTTCCAACAATAAATCCTTCTTTTTGTTTTGACTTTACAATACGATGGCAAGTGTCAGAACTATGGCTTTATTCAATGCACCTGTTGACAAAAACGTCGGAAAGCATTGTGCCGGAATTGGTTATGACTTTCAAATTTATCAAAAGATCATCCAGTAAAAATGKGAAACAGGTTGCGTGAACACCTGGTTCTGGTTATTGTATTCCGATTGTTGCAAGAGATTTTCCTCACTCGCACCATAGCTGTCAAAAACTAAGAAAACCAATTCTTATGTAAAAAAAACATTGAATAACACTGGAAGAAATCGCGCGCTTTAAAGGTTGTAAATTTGATGTAAATATGATGTAAGTGTCCAAAATTCTGTAAATTTGATGTAAATGATTTCCATTAAATTTACAGAATTTTGGACACTTACATCATATTTACATCAAATTTACAACCTTTTTAAAAAGCGCGCGATTTTTCCAGTGGAAATGAATGCGAAAACATTCTGAGGTAGTTGATGAATGCGGTTTTTGATGTTTCATTATATATATCCTCCGGTGGTCTAGTGGTCTACCCTAAGTTATATTAAAATTTTGTGTCTGTTAAGTATCTGTAATGTAGTTGTTAAATGTTAGTTGTTAAWTGTTGTTATATCAGTTGCGCTCATCCTGTAATTCAGTGTTTTTCTCTTGTATTGCACTGCGATAGGATTGTAATTAAACATATTATTATTATATTATTATAATATTCAATTTGCACGATAGATAATTGCTGACGATGTATACCAAGAAATCTTARGAACAGAACAATTATAATAAGCTAGGGAAAATTTCACCTACTTCATACTGTTGCAGGACCGGATAATTTCTTATGGCTGCGGGTTAGCACTACGACATAATCAGATGCACAAGGCAGAACAAAAGAAAACATGAACACTTCAAATTATCAATAAGTCAAGTCATTAATTATCGACATAATGACCCCTCCTTACAAATCCCCCCCGTCTCCCTCCTAAAATAAACGAAAAAAGAAATCTGAGTGTTAGTGCAGAGTGCGAAGTTTTGTTTAAAATTAGTCGAGGAAGCTCGTGTCTTCTTAAGATGCACTTGCGTATAAAACAATACTGTGACAAGTTTGCATGTAAGGACTCATAACGGCAAATCAAAGGATCTTCCCTCGGGTCCATGCATTCTCCCCTTGGGTCCATGCAATCTCCCCTCTTATGTCCATGCAATCTCCCCTCTTGGGTCCATGAAATCTCCCCTCTCGGGTCCATGCATTCTCCCCTCTTGGGTCTATGCAATCTCCCCTCTTGGGTCTATGCAATCTCCCCTCTTGGGTACATGCAATCAATACAACATGAAAACTAAAAGAAAGCAACAATCACGCCGCACTAGTTAAAGTCAGTGTGTTTATTAATAATTCTAACTGTGCACATGTTTAATAAAATACATTTTGTCTAATTATATATAATCAATACTGACAATCGCCCAATGACACAGAATCTGGAATCCCACAAAAGTTTGCYTCTGGAAACCGGATTCCACAGTCTTGGAATCCGGAATCCGYGGCAATGAAAGAAAACGAATCAAATTTGTAACTTCAAAAATGTTTGATTCCTGTTAAAGCTAGGATGATTTGCATTCTGAATCCAATTGTRGAATCCAGAATTYCTGTGAAATTTTTCAAGGAATCTGGAATCCACAAGCTTGGAATTCGGAATCCCGGAATGCTCCGGATTCCGTGTTATGGGGCGATGACGCGGACGGTCAGTCCACTACTAAACCAGTGGGTAGCTGGCTTGGGTTGCAATACCACACTGGTTGTTCCTGTTCCTGGACATCATGATGTAACCCTCCATTCCCCAGCCTTCGCCCCAAGAGTTCTTGACCAGCCAGTAATCTTGACCTTGGTAGGTACCATATCCAACAACAAGGACACCATGGTCTAACAAGGTGCTACTACATCGTCTGTTGAACAATGAACAATAATAATTACTAATAATAACATAGAACAATATAGTAGTACATTGAGTCTCTTTCTTTGATAAGCGTCGATCAATAAGTTGAATATATTACGAATTGTAGTGAACAAAAGTCGCAATATTTTTGATTTTTGCAGTTAAGCAAGTCCTTTTRTGTTAGTCATCAGAGGAAATTTCGTGTAAGGAATTGTGATGKTCGCAGTGAAATTATTCAACGCAATTCAAACCATCATTTCAGCAGATAGCATTTCATCACCGAGAAATCATAATCTAGCGTTAAGATTATGTCATTATGAGATCACTGCAGAAGTTCTGCCAATACAAGAATTGTTCACAAAACATTACAAGAGCATGATCTTTGCTTCTTGGGTTTTAGATAATAGCGTAAAGGCAACAACTTATTGGCCTATGAAGGAGTTCGTTCTTCCATCCTAAGGGCCTAAACTTCACGATACTGCAAGGCGTTTGATACAGCACAAACATAATTCATATCCGTGCTGATGTTGCCGCGAAGAACGCTCTTATCACATTAAGAATGGTGTACTTACCGCTCATTGTACACCCCGTTGTGGTACAACTGGAAYGAAGAATGACCAGCATCGATGGCAACAGAGATAGGACCAATTGTTGCAGCAGCGTTCTGGAGTGCTTCCTCGCTTCCTCTTTGAATGTCCACAAATCCTGTCATAAAAAGCAAAAATTAAAATAAGCAGTYTTTCAGAAAARTSTTTTTACRCAAGCTGTGAYTTGTTGATATTTTYCCGCGCTTTTAYCGCGARCGCACTTCCTGGATTTCCTATCCAAAGGAGCAAAGCGAAGGAATTTTCACTTCCGCTCAATTTTAGACCTTYCCCGCCTKTTAAACGTATGCTCTCTMTAGTGATGACATTAATGGCGTCACACGCCGTTTCTTACCAGTGTCCGTAGCTCCAACGTYYTCTCTCTTAAACCTGCATCKCATGTTTYGTGCTTCGTAGGGATAACTCTCTTCTGTGTCAATACCATCGTTAGACTTTATGTATCTGAATGCATTGTCCATTAGGCCTCCTTGGCAGCCGTGGTTTCCAAAGCTTGTGGAGCAGTCTACAAGRTTCTGTTCACTAAGAGAGACCAGTTTACCGGTTTTCTTGAAGTGCTGTCCTTCGAGAGAGCCAGTGGCGCTGAAAGCCCAGCATGAACCACATTGTTCTGGAAGTTTATAGAAGAATGCTTGTTTAAAATTTTAGATTAGAGTAAATACGACTGATAATAGTCATGATAAATGGATGTATGTAYGAATGGATGGGAAAAAATGGGATAGATAAATATATGAACATATGAGTGCCATGGATAGAAAAAGATCTTGAATCTTTAGAAAACACGTAAGAATAATGTAGGCTGATGGCTAGTACGTCTAGATTTAAAGGTGTTTTAAGGGTCCAGGGATCCTTGATTGATCTGATGCCCGGCAGAGGGCTAATATCATTATGGTAGTAAGTTCCATAGCCGAAGAACTCTCGGAAAGACAGACTTGCTTGTACTAAGATTGATTGAAGGCAGATAAACTTTAGCATGCATAAGACCAGACAAAAGAATGGAAAAAAGTCCTTACTTTGGTTCTTGACTGGTGTTACGTATCCCTGCTTCCTCCAGTCGACTTCAGATGGAAGTTTGACGTTGCTTGACTTCAAGTACGTTGACCCACGGGTGCTGTTAGCGGGTTTGAAACCCAAAAACAAGTACTTGAATTCTGTGACTGTCAGATCTCCAAATTGGTTCATAGCTAGAGTATATGAGTGCCCCCCCTTGTTATGGTTTTTTACGATCTGTAAAAAAAAACACGTTGGAATTAGGTTTAGGCGCCGTGGGTCTGTATTGTCGCTAACGTAACAGTAAGATTCACGCAGCACATGAACGCAAAGAAGACTTAACACAAACGTAAAAAAGCGTAAACAGTGGGTAATAGTTTTACGTCGTGTGTCTATCTTGACGTAACCGTGAGACTCACGCATCACATGAACGCAAAGAAGTCAATTAAAGAAAAAAGCGTAAAGCAAACGTAAAGCAAGCGTAATAGTTTTACGTCGTGCGTCGATCTTATGGTTAACGTTACYGTATACTTACGAACATATGGACGCAAAGAAGACTTGAAGCAAGCGTGAAAAAGCGTAAAGTAAACGTAAAGCAAGCCGCGTAAATAGTTTTGCGTCGTCAGTCTATATCATCGTTAACGTAACCGTAAGACTCACGAAACGCATGGATGCAAAGAGCATTTACGTAGGGGCAAAAAACGCGTAAAGCAAACGCACTACTTTTACGCACTACCAATGAGTCTTGAAACTGAAAATAAATCAATTGTAGAGCGTAAAGGACAAATTACTAAGTAAAAGGACAATATTGAGAGTTATATTCCTAAGTACTTTTTAAAGTAAAAGCTCTCAGAGAAGGAAATTTCTACGAAATGGTAGACTTATCATATTTTTGAACCAGACTTCCATCTTGCAGTATCTGTGCATCTCGGCCGTCTGGGGTAAAGCTTAGAAAGCCAATCTTTTCTTAGGAATGCTGTGATCTTGTATTTCTAGTGGGATCAAGGTCACTGTAGACAATTGCTTGTCATGTATACCAAATTTTGTTCGCTAAGTATGCGGACATTCTCGAATTATGTAATTGCATGCGATTAATTTGACGTTCATATAAATGTTGAAGAATTTTTTTACAGCACCGGTATTTTCGCATTATGAAAATCTTTCCTTCCCAATCTTTTTAGGCACATTCAGTTCTAGCAAGAGTAGCGAATTTAAAACCTCGTGCAACGCGAACCGAAAGAGAGTAATTRAAAAGAGTTTCAACTTTCCTTATACGCGTTAGCTCTAAGTGTTTTTGTTGACGATTCGCATGAAGTACTTTCGGGTATCCGTAATTTGACGTTTCGTCTTTGGTACTAAATGTTTGTGCAGGGGAACTTTTAATACGTCAGTGATATYCTTGTGATAAAAGTCAGAGCTTATACAAATATTGCTTTAGTTTTAACTGGAGTACTGACGGATACCTTTTACGACTGAAACATACATACACTTGCGTGACCAAGGTTTAATAAAGATTTGTACATATTCATTAAAAATATTAATATCCTTTGAAACTATTATTTCTAAAAGTAATATATTAGATTGCTGGACTGTCAATAATAACTCAGTTGTCGCAAAGAGTTGTCGCTGTCATCGCTTTTATCGCTCGAAGTCCTTGAACTTGACAGTAATTTTCTGTTGCGTCACGCGAGATCAAATCGAAAAGTATCCCTAACAAATACTTTAAGAAACCATAATTTTGTGAATACAGACCAATGTGCATTATAGCGTGAGATTAGAACCTCAGTAAATCGAGTGTATCACCAAAGTACCAGTTCTGCCTAACAAGAAATACTCTGACAGTACAGGACAGTACCTCAAGGTTGTTACGCCATATGGCCCGACGTTCGGCCTCTTCGGTCTCGGTAGCGTATTCCTTTCCATGGAAGGACTTCCAAGCTTTCCACTGAACTTCTTCTTCGCTAACTGGCGACCCTCCTTGGGCCAATGCAAGAAACGCGACAAGCACTACGGAAAAGAGCATGTTTGGTCTTCGCTGGTCGATTTGGAGTGTGAATACGAGGTGACTTCTCGGTGCTATTCGGTSATGGTACGCGCTATGACGGAATACGATACAGAGGAATGTCACGTGGTATCACGCGCAGAGCTCGTGACGGTAGAAGGGACCAGTCATTATTTATCCACAGGGATGGAACGGTGGATTTGCTCATTTTGTAAATCCATTATTCAACCAAGAAGAGGTTAAAATGTTCAGTCTGACTAGCGAAATTGTAGCTGACATTAGCATCCCCCCATGCATTACTACCCTACTGAAAGCTTCCATGTACGGCCCTTTCTGCGCACTATTTGCGAGTGTGAGTACTCCCCCCTTTAAACAGGTAAAATGATGTACGTACCCTACATAAATGCCTGATCCGTCCCTGGATATATACGATGACAGGTCACTAGCTTACGTAATGATACGGGAGCAAACGGATCGCTCGGTAAAACGAAGGACACGGAAAGCTAAGACGATGTTGTAATCAGACTACTCTTGGTATGCGCGTTACGACATTAAAAATACAAATAATGCATTAATAAAATAATGCAAATAATTACGCATTACCTAGGTAGATAATATTCGGTTTCTCAGTGCGAGCGTCAATATCATAATATCAGGCCCGTAGGCTGTCTTGCAGGCCTTGCAAATGGGGGGAGGGGGCAGGCTGAGAACTGGCTGCTAGAAGAGCAGAATACTTATCAAAAGCAGTTTATAACAAAAGGGCCTGAATATTCACTGTTATTATGGTTATCACCGGCGAATGTAGTCTCGTTTAAATCAGTCCTTGACGTTTGCATAATTGTCCTATTTAATTATGACGTCACATATCCTACTGTTTTAACGCTAAGGATTATGGTCGCTAACAGAGGAGAATAGAGTTACTGCATGTCAAATAAAATTTATCAAAACACCTAAACATTGAAGTTCTATTTTCGGAGAGAATATAAATGGCTCCATTGAGTTCCAACTGTTTTTGAGTATCTATCCCCGATGTGACGATAATGAATGAACTACTGATATTGTCTAAAAGGACTCACTAATCTTGAGCAAATCGGTTTTTAGCCAAAAACCTGATACTCCTTCATTTCAAAGCTCTGAGGTTTTGGCCAACACATTGGATAATAATAATAACCGTTGTCCCAACAAAATGGCGTCTCCCTGTGATTTTACCCAGCATTAGATTGCCGAATCAAGGAGGCAGAGCCTAATTTATTTCGTTTGCGAAGGGGGTAGTAATTAACTTTTTTGATTTTTTGCTTCATTTCTCAACCCACCTCCTCCTGATAAATATTGCGCAGTCCCTTACGAGCGAATCTGAATGTATTAGGGACCGTTCATTATTTATTGGGAGGGGGAGGGACGTGGGTGATTATTTAGCAAATGTAACTTTTTTAGGGCCCCCCTACAATACGCATTTTTTTTCAATGACACCTGTTATCCTAAATAGAAGTATTTCGACCATCCCCCCCAAAAAAAAATAACAAAAAACAAAAACAACAACAACAACAAAAAAAAAAAAAACATTCACATACCGTCTATGTACTAAAAAAATATTACTCCATGTCCCTGCCATTCTATCTTCCACTACGAGTTGTATTTATACACTGAAAATCAGTGTCATTGTTTGTTATCATGTCGTCTCATCTGTCTCTTAACTAAGTCCTAGGGACACATTCACTGCACTCATCCTCAGAGTCCACATCACTTATATCACTGCCAGTATCTCTGTTCTCGACAGCTTCGTGTTGACTTGTGTGAGCAGGTTATGTGTTTCTAAACTTAGTACATTATAAAACTGTAAAATTCTTGAAATATGCTTCGTAGTATTTTACCTTGTTTTTATTAAATTTTTGCCATATAATGCTCGCTCTGATTGGCTGACGACCGTGTTTATATCAAAGGACAGATCGAGACTGTTTTCAGTGCTCGAAAAACGCAGAAACATTTTATAAATTTATAATTTTTCAGCTCCCACCGTGTTTATGTCAGAGGACAGACACGCGCGCAGTTTTATATATATTTCATAAATACATTTTTTGAGAACCCGCTTTTTATGCTTAAAAAATTTCAAGACCCCCCATTTAATCACCCATCTCCCCCTTCCATAAATAATGAACGGTCCCTTACTCACGCGAAAGCTTTGACCAATCAAAACGTAGTATACACAAATTCATTAGGTTTTACTGGTTAAGCTGTTGTTCGAAGGCCTTCAAGGGAGCTTCGTAGCTTTTTATCGTATCAACAAAGTTGAATCATGATAAAGATGTCTGGTGGTTGGTATCACAAGGGTATTTCGAGTCAGGAAGCTTTCAAACTGCTTCCTAAGAACGCTAAAGACGGATCATTTCTGATTCGCGATAGCGAAAGTGTTCCAAATGCTCTCGTTCTATGTTTGCGGTGAGTAAAAAAGACAAATTGAAATTAAGGATTAAAGCGTATTGTTTTTTAGTTTAGTAAGCTAAATTATATCTGTGAATCAAGGTAGTGTTTGTTTTTGTTTTAAAATATTTTCAGTTTTTTCTTGGAAGTGTTCTGGTTGGGTGGTCATGACAATAACTTTTATTTACTTAAATGAATTTTGTTTCATTGCTACCAATTCATGGTTGCTGGCCAGCCAAGGTATTTATTTTAAGGAGTATCGAATTATTCCTTCCCAATACAATACTGATCTTCAAAGACGGATTTCAGTAATTATAGTTTATAGTTATCTTCTACCATGGTTGCTTGCCAGGTGCTAAAGGAGCATCGAATTAATCCTACCTCATACAATAATATATACTATAGTAGTCTGTTCTACGTACATCTTCATTTTATTAGTCTCGTGAAAGGGCAACCATCAATGCTTTCTGCTTTCTTTCTACATTCATGCTTTCTTGGTTTTGATGTCAAATGAAGACAGATAACTTGAACGAAAACATTTATTTCAAGTGAATGAAATATCATTGCAAATTTGCATACCTTCAAATATGTACATAGCTCGAGCTGTAATGATGCACTGACTCGACGGACCTGTGAATTCTGCTTTCTTTGAACTTTACAAACGGTTTCGCAAGTTTTAGTAGAGGGGGATTTTGAACACCGGGGGGGGGATTTTGAACACCGGGGGGGGGGATGAGACTCTCAATCGGTTCAATTCATATAGATAGGAGTAGGTCAAGCGGCGGTCCCGGCATGCATTCGTCTGCTCCTATTGAATCACTGCGAAGTACCGGCCTGCGACATTTCTCTAAAACTGCCATAAAGCTTTATACTGGTACTACACAAATCATTCCGTAGGCTGCCTTAGAAAAGGGTGGTTCGTTTTTTCATAATGCAGGCATTAGCTAAATGTGTAACTAAATTAGTTCAATGTACAGGTATGGTGTGTAAAAACTGGATGCTAGAGTTCGTTCCCTGAATCCCCCCAGCTTACGGGCCTGTATTCTCATCTGGACTAATTTCTAATAAGTCCTGTTGTACATGATCAGTGATGGTTTTACCAAGAGTTGACAAACCAAAGATGTAAACTTCCATGGTATTCTCATTTTGTTGGTGTTTTTCCAAATCAACATTTTATAAATACTCATAAATTCAACGTTTGAACGTCTAAAATTAAAATAAGCTAAAACTCATACACCTAATTGAAATCAGTATATATGATTTACTCTATGCTCTCAAATCGATTTCTATAGATTTCAAGGACAAGTTCATCTGTACAGAATATTTACTAGGGAGCAAGATGGCCGTCTTTATTTACAGGTGCGAATTTTGCACAATATAGAAAGATCTAGAAATACATTAAGGATGACAATTTTTGTTAAGTAAATATAGATATCAATTATGAATGAATACTACATGCCGTCTAAAGTTATACAACTATTTCAAAAAACCTTGTCGGGGAGACTGTTGAAGGGCGATTGTCGAAGGAACATCGCATGACGCGAAAAGGGACTATGGTTTGACATGGGAAATTTTACATGTTTGGTTAATGTTCGACTATCATACAGTTGAAATCAGTTATTATTTCACACTATAGTTTCGTAGTAGCACCATAGGTAATAAAACTTTCAAAAAATTAAAAGTTAATCGTATTTTCGTTTAGAATGCGCTTTCACACTCACTAGCAAAACCTATGGTTCCTTTCAGTCATATCTACATTTGACAATTGTCATTCGCCATTTTATCAGACAACCTTTGTTGAAATAGGTATATGTACGGTATGACCGTTTACAGATAGTGCGGCTACCGAGACAGGGGCCACCTAGAAAATATAAAACCCCACAATTTAGATCGAATACAAATGCATGATTCAAACTAAGAAAATCATCATTTAATTGAGCTTTAGGTCTTTGCAATATCACCGATAATCGTTTCTTAGCTTAAAGTTTTTAATCCTTGTTTTCAGTCGAAATTGTGATTATTCTCAATTCTCATACGTCATGTACGCAATGCATTGTAGGATATGTTACACAGAACATGGCGGATTTCTTTTGTTTTCTCTAGAAACTGATCCCACAATGCTTTGCAAATCAAGTTTGAGAAGTCTATGAAATGTCAAAAAGCGCTGGCTTTCGTAGCCGGGCGTTTGGACCAGACTTCTTCGGGTTTCAGTTAAGTGTAACGTCTCTAACGCTACGGAATTTTATTTCTTTCCGCATAAATAGACTGGCTCTAGCAAAGGCTCTAGTCTGCAATACTTTGAGCTGCTGGAACAGTTAGTAACGTATTACAGTCAACCAGATAGGGGGCTAAAATGCCCATTGAAGTATCCAATCATATCTGCTAGCTACTATGACGAGTCAGGAATATATGGGCAATGTATTAAAGGTAACACTATAGGAATCTCTATTAAAGAATTCCAACCACACCACACCACACCACACCACACCACACCACACCACACCACACCACACCACACCACACCACACCACACCACACCACACCACACCTTTCATTATTTATACAACAGTATGAATACTATCGTATTTCCACAGAAACCTTCAATCCAACCAAACACGATTCTTCAACCTTTGTAACAGCTTCAGATGTGCCAATGAAACTTGGTAGACATTTGGAAATGGTATCTAAACTAGATATACCATCCTCTGGTTATAACAGAAAACTTGATGTTCGAGAGTTCTTTTATGACTTCCATTTAGAGAGAAAAAACTGTTAGAGGCCAAGAGCGTCATGGCAAAGAAATCTTTCGGACATGCCACTGGAAAAAATCGCGCATGGATGTCAAAAAAGTATAAACCCCGCGATCTAAATGGTTATACATTGCCGTCTTGCCTTAGTGCGATCGTTTCATGGTCATAGAAAAACCAGCTCAGTTACCAAGCTGGACGGCAGCTATTACAGAAAACATTGAATACTGACGATAGTGCATTACAAGACCGCAATGCATTGTTGGTTGTTCTGTCGCCGTTTAATAGAATCGTTGGAAAGCAATTTAGTCTTGGAAATCTTGAAAATAAAAATTTATTTATCGCCAACTCGCTTGAAGAAAGCCAGTTTGATGTTCTGAGCTGTCACTCAAAATCATGTCTTGATAAATTTGTTCAACTTGTTCTGAAGAAGCAGTGGACAAATAATTCTATGGTCAAACGTTTTTTGGCAACGATTGCATGAGTTGCTTAGGATTTTGATAACTGCTACATGCACATATAACTGACTTCCTTACATTTTAGCTGAGTCATACGTTTAATGTGAAAACTTAATATTCATTGTGACTTTTTCATGTTTTTTTTATCCATTACGTCTTACACAATCATGCAACCCAACCACATCACCACATTTTTACGTGGGCTTCCTGTGGAAGTCCACGTCTTAAAATGCAACTGGCGATTTCGTCGTGGTCGTCGTCGTGAATATTACGCTTCAAATTGGTAGCGCATCGATAGCGCATGCGTTGCAGTCTCAGTTTCCATGGGGATGTCGAAGTAAATCAATCAGCGCTTTCTTTTCATTCATGACATGTATTGTTTCGTATGTCATTCGGCCTCGTGGTCTTATCGCGATATCTAAGTCACGTTATAGCTACTGTGACCTGGTTTGTGACCAAGAAAAGCAATGTGATCAAGAAAATGAATGAAACCAACCCTAGAACGCTGATCTCAAAGCTCTTACTACTTCTTGAATCATTCAAACGATCAAAATATTACTCAAAGTTATAATACTTAGAAAACTGCAAAGACTGTACCGTTTCTATTGTTTATTATTATCTCTGGAGCTACTACGAAACTATGATATAACATAACCTTTCAGGTCAAATTTACATATTTCGAATATTTGCATATTTTGAATAATCTAGACGCTCTTAGAGCGTAAAGTCGGGCTAGCTATTTTTGAAAACTGAGAAAGTCAAGGTACTTAAGTTAATTAATTAGAGTTCAGTTCGGTAAAAAATTGTGATGTAGTAAATAGCTTAGGGTTGTCCTGACTTATTTCAAACAAAGACTGTATCGTGAAAATGAAATACTTATAGCTCAATGGCGGCAGCTGACCCATTGTCGCATCTACAGGAAGCCCACGTAAGCGATCAATGATCGTCTAGTTCTTTTAAAGGTATTTTATTACAAAAATAAGTGTAAAATGTTTTGACATACAGATTATATTTAGTTCCAGATTTGAGTTTAGAAAAAAAGAAGTTACAGCTTAAGGAGAAGACATACAACAGACAGACACTATTTTTTTCCAATAACGACACTACCATTTTGCACACTACCCTTTCGACTATCAATTTAAAAAAGTCTAGAATTATGATTAAATTTAACAATCTAAAATTTTTAAGTTAACATTCTACCCTCTTTTGTCATTCGAACTCTCTCATAACATTCTTGCTGTTAAGCGTTTGTTTTACATTATTTTTTTTGCGATTTTTTTGATTTTTTTGGGTTGTTTTTGTAGTGTCTGTCCGTGCATGTCTTCACGTACAAGTAAAAAAAAAGAAGAATTAAAGGAGGAATCCTTTCTTGAATCCACAATATCCGTATTCTGGTTTCTTTTTCTTGGCATCTGTTGCCTTGCTCTCTGGCTTGTCTCCAGACCTTCCTGGAGGTTTGTCCTCTTCTTTAGGTTCTGGAGGTTTGGATGCCTGGGCCACTGGTGGCTGGCGTTGGCTTTCCCCTTTAGCACAACCCTCTTCCCAACTTTCATCGTCTGATGAATCACAGCCGGGTTCAGTTGGCTGAAAAATAAATAAGATCATTCGTTAAAATCTATCGGATAAAAAGTGAAAACATTGCTTTCCTAGATTTGTACCTTGGTGAAATGACTCCACGCCCAGTAGGCAGTAACGCCTACTGCTACAGCAGTAGCTCCAAACAGAGCAGTCTTCAACAGGAATTTCATATCTCAAGATACTTTTCAATCGCAAAACTGTTAAGTCACAGACTCAATTTACCACTCGTGCAACTGTGAAAACAACTGAACAAGTGATAATTAACTTGACGACGTCACGGCTTAAATACTAATTAGTTAAGACTTAATTAGTTAATTTGCTAATCATTCGTGACGTCAATGCGTCTAGAAAGTTCTAGAACGTTGATGACGAATTGTATCATTGTCAATTAATTATGACGTAATCAGTGAGAGCTACTTCAAGGCGCGAAATGAGTTCTGGTACTTATTTAGATTTT